TGCACTCGGTCTTTCTGTTATGTACCTTTGTCACTGTTCGGGGTAAACCCTGATATTGTTGATTTGGTGATGATTTGTAACATGTGCTCTCAGACTTATTTCTCCACACAAACCTCCTTAAAACTGGATGGAGGGGCTTCCCTGGTGGCGCAGTGGTTGAGAATCTGCCTGCTAATGCAGAGGACACGGGTTCGAGCCCTGGTCTGGGAGGATCCCACAGGCCGCCGAGCAACTAGGCCCGTGAGCCACAACTACTGAGCCTGCGCGTCCGGAGCCTGTGCTTCTTAACGAGAGAGGCCGCGATAGTGAGAGGCCCGCGCACCGCACGGCGATGAAGAGTGGCCCCCGCTCGCCGCAACTAGAGAAAGCCCTCGCACAGAAACGAAGACCCAACACAGCAAAAATAAATAAATTAATTAATAAACTCCTACCCCTAACATCTGAAAAAACAATAACAAAACACTGGATGGAGAATGTGCCCTGAGAGTTCTCACTGGAGGGGCAGCCAGTGGAAACAGGGTTCCAGAACCAGAAAATCGGAAGGGGAAATCACTGAACCTGGAGCAAGCCATGTGGCTTTCATTAGCACCAGGTAACATACTCACCATTTAATAAGTACTCCCAGTGAGGACATAAGCTAGAGCAGAACCCAGTTTTGATTTCAAGCTACTCAGGCAAGAGGTCAAGGAGAAAATTAATACAATCTCTACCAGACCTAACGGGTTTCTCTTCTCATGGAGGAGAGATCATTCCAGTGCTATACCTTTTATCCCAAGCCTTAAAATAAACCTGGGTCTTTTCTGCTTAAGGAATTTATATGCAGTTTTACAAGGAGATAAAAGTTAAATGTAGCTATATGTTTAGCTGACTAGTCAAAATAAGAGTAGATAAAATCAGAACTTCTCTGAAAAACTGAAGGTACATATATGTTGTATTTATGAATAACCCACAAATATATCAGAAAAAGTCAAGAATATTTAAGAATCCTTTCTTTCATCTCTACTGTATTCCATCTACTCTAATTAGTTAATCAGTTAAAGGCTAGCTATAACCTTGACTGTCATGGAGCTGGATCTAAAATGGAACATGTACAAAAAATTTTCTGTGATCTTAATCCTTTCTTATGACCTACAAGTGGTATTTACATTTTTTTGTTTATATCTTTATTTTTCCCTTAATTTGATTCTTGCATTTCCTAGGCTGTGCCTCATACATTAAAATATTTGCATTCATTAAAAGTCATTAATTATATTCTAGTTCGTGTATGGACTTTCTTCCAAATGAAGGAAGCAAAGGACACTATGATTTCCTTTCCTTTCCTCTGCCTGTGTCAGCTATAAGATATGAAGAAAAATTAATTAGGCTTAACCCTTGACTTCTCAATATGTGTGTTTTTCTGAAAGCCTCTGTGAAATGGAAAAGAATGTTTATGTGTACAAACAGGCCAGGATATTTTTTATCTATGTTATTTTTATTTAATCTGAACACTAATTTGGAACTGATTACTTTGCTAGATTATGAAACAACCCAAACAATATTTCACAAATAAAAGTTCACAGTGAAATTAACGGGCAAGCCACATATATGCCCGTGTACTCCTACTTCTGCACATTCTTGAAATTCCAGTTTACATTTAGTTTTGCCTGGAATATTATTTAAGTATTCATGTATTTGTGTTTTTACAGATTAGACAAGGAACTGCAGTATAAATGGATTTGGGGCTGAAATTTCTCTTAAAATATTTTAATTTGAATTTCTCATCATAATAAAGTACCATCAGTGCCACTCCTCTTATATGTTTCTCTGGATAGGTGTAAAGCCACTTTATTTTTGTACTAACAAAGAGAATTTTGATTCTGGAATAGTAAAAATGTGAGAAACAGTAATTGGGAAAAACATACACGATCAGGACAGGGTGGATAGGACTCACCTTCTAAGTCTCTCTTTCTGAGAAAAGTGTCTTTTCCCTGTGTACCATGAAAGGTACTGGGCAGCTGCTGGAGGGGCTGGGCACGGATCCAGGGCAGCCCTGGGCTCATTTACGTCCACGGTCACACTAGTGGGGGTGGGGAAAGCGCTGAGGAGGCTTCTGGGAGACAGAACAGCCCCCAGCTGTTGTTGTTAAATGTGGACACACCCTTCAGGTTGCCAATCGCCACGGTCCCCATTTGTTAACTCTGCCTGTTAACCCAGTTATGCTACCTGCCCTGCCCCCCTGCCCTCAAGCTGTGACCATCTGCATTTTTGACCCCCGCAGCAATAAATTGCACGCCGCAAAGACTTCTTCATATAATCCACCCAGAGAGGAATCATTTATTGTTAAAAAATAACAGTGGTGAGAACTTCTTGGAAAATGCAAGTTTCCCACCTCTACTCTGCCCTACATCTATCCTTCAGGCCCTTATGTGGACTACTTTGGTCACATTAAAATCCAGTAGCCCAGAGTACCCCAGAGGGGGGCATTTTGTTGACATGGGGGAAAGGACCATTTTAGAATAAGAGACACCATGAGGATCACTGAAGTTTCCAACCCTGAACAGAAAGAGCAATTTTGGACAACCCAAGGATGGTTTGGGGGCATTTGGGACTGGGTGAGCAGGGAGGGAAGAGAGAACCAAGAAGAGGGGAATTCCACAGAGGGAGGTGGCCTGGAAGGAAAGAACAGAACGTTGGCTTCCTTTCCTGTGGGAGCAGCTACGCTGTCCTGTAAAGACTTTGTGGGGCTCCTCTGTATGAAGTCTGGAAAGCTGCATATCTCAGGCTTATCCCATCTCTCCCAGCCCATTGCAGATTTCACCTCCTTATCCAGTCCCCACCTTAAGAGGAAAGAATGGAGTGTCATGTGAGCGGAGCACAGATGCCAGCAGTCAGCTTGTCCAAGGAGGGAAGAGAGTCAGATGCTGCACTCTTGCCTGGGGCTTCCTCTGCCCCCAAGGTCCTCCGTTCAGTTCTCGTGACTTTTCTCTATTTGTGAAAACTTCTATTCCTTGCAAATTCTTGTGTCTCCTATAAAACAAAGCTACTGAGAAAATTAACAGACTTAAGAAATCAATGCTTTTCTTCCCTCACAAAGAAAGGAAAGTACTGACATCACCTGAAGGGAACTTCTAGAAGCTAAGATCAGGTCATTTACAGACGCGCAGTTTCCATTCAAGAAATGGTCTCTTGGAAGGACTCTGTTGGAATATCTATCAGTAGAGACTTGCTGGCTGCCACAGAATTAAAACTAAAAGGGAAAAAG